GTCAAAAGTCAAGCAAAAATTGGACTGATATTGGGCACTATTTCAAGCACAATTTTTTGAGACGTAAATTGTACCTATAGCTCGTTCGATATTCGCGCACTGAGGTGAGTATGCTGGGCGTAGAACCTACGCCCAGCATACTCACTGAACGAAGCCTATAACTCCGAAGTTATTCGAGCACTGTTTTTTCTTTTTGGGCACCGTTTGGCACTATTTGGGAACTATTTTTTGAAGTATGAATTATGTTTGAAGCGTATACAGATTCTCCGGACGGAGGTGAGTATGCTGGGCGAAACCTTCGTCCAGCATACTCATCGAACTATGGCTATAACTTCGCAAGTACAAGAGCACTATTTTTTTCCTTTGGGCACTATTTAGCACTATTTCAGAACAGTTTTTTGACATTCATGAAATATCAGGATTCCATGGTGAGTATGCTGGACGAAGGGACACCGCATTTAAAATGACAAACCTATCAATACGTATTGCTAACGAGACTAGAGGCAGCTACTAAAAAGTTCGCGTCGCGTTCCTCAAAGAGCCATCAGAGGCCTTAGTACGAGTTTGTTTTACGTTAAAAGTAATCGTAACGAGTACGCGTTCGGCGCTCTGATTGGTTGCTTCATTGGCGCCGGCCAATCAGAGCGCTGAACGCGTACTCGTTTCGAATACTTTAAAAGTAAATCAAACTCGTATTAAGGCCTCGGACCACCACAGATGGGGCCCAGTAGGGCTGATGCCCAATACGGAGCCAGGCTAGGTTCAAAGAGCAGGCGTAGGAACGGGGTGGTTTTTAGTAAGAGTCTGACACTCCCTCTCTCCTAACCCAAGGCGGAAGAAGTCATTGGAAGATTTTCCCCCTCAAAAAAAGCCTATCGAGTTGTTGTTATTAACGTTTTTTCGTACTCGGGCGGCAAAATGTTCATAGCACGCTCACTCTAGGGTTAATAAAATATATTTAGTCGGTCACACAATTTGTATTGTAGCATTAATTAACTATCCATGCTACAATAACTGCAGCCGGTCGTCTAACAAACCATGCATACAATGTCATTAATTCGTAGAGAAATCAACCCTATAGTTTCTTCACCACATTTTCTGTTAGTGTTGTAATTAAAAATAGATATAAAATTTTCGTATATAAGCGAAGCTGTGGGACATCTATTAATATGTAGGTAGGTATGGTGCAGAAGCTCCTGGAAAAGAACAGGTAGGTAGATAACAGCGCGGCGTATGTGTTTCATGACATGGACATGAATGGAAGTATCTCATATGTTTATAAAAGGGGTGTTCTGGTAATGCTTCATCAGAGATTTTCTCAAATAAACCGATGGAAGATGTTCTTATTAAGGCAGAATGTATGAACGACAAAATGAAATTAATAGATGTATGTATGGATCATATTAGATAGCGCCCTGTAGTTTTTATTGTGGGACATTGGTTATTATGTATGTTGTAGTTTTAACATGAAGAATAAGACTCTCATCAAAAAGAATTTGGGAAACTGAAGACCATATATATAGATAAGGCCGTGCGCTGCGTTAGGCGTACTAATCTCATAGATCAGCATGCGGCGGGCGACCCGCTGGTCTATGGGATTACTTGCATGAAACGGCATGCCACGCGGCGCCCGCGCCGTGCGCACGCATGATGTAGCGCACGGCCTAAGACAGCCAACGAAATATGTACTTAAGAGGTCTACAATCAAGATTCTGAGAGTGTAATTATAACTGGGGCGTTTTTCGGGGTAACCTATAATTTTAGCGTCACGTTTAGCGTTTATAAAGTTAGCGTCACGTTTCCCGCGCGTCTTAGTGCCATCAGACCACCACAGATGGGGCCCAGTAGGGCCGATGCCCGATATGCCCGGGGCTCCAGCTCAAAGAGCAGGAGTAGGAATTCAGAGAGAATGAATATGAATTGTAAATTCATTACATTTTCGGTCATCAGATCCTAGATTTCCTTAGAATTCAATGCCTAGATTAGCTTAGACTTCACATAAAACAGACTGTTTGATTGACGAATTACAAAATACTAACTTTCATTATTTACGAGAGATGGAAAGTGTGAAGGGGATATTGAAAGGAGAGTAAAAGCGGGAAATAGTGTTAATGGTTACACTCTGCAATGTCGAGTAAAATAATATCCAGCAAAGCTCGACTTGCTGTAATGCAGTGTGTATTGACACCAGCCCTTATACATCGGCGATATATTAAAGAAGGGCCAAATTAAAAGTACTCTTAACCGACGAGCATGCATGAAAAGATTGATGACTGTTGATGAAGCGAAAGAGGTATGTAGGAATCGTAGTAATTGGCGTTCTCTAGTCTCTGCCTACCCCCATGGGAGACAGGCGTGAAGTTATGTATGTATGTATGTATAACACTTTATGGTAAATTGAAGGTGCGATGACCATTGGAAAAACCATACAACCATAATAGGTCAACGACAGACGTAATAAGAACCGTCGACTACCTATTATGTAATGGGTATCGTGCCGGGTTAAACTGAGAATATTTTGAGGAAAACCTAAAATAATATGTACTTTTGATGACTGTTGATGAAGCGAAAGAGGTATGTAGGAATCGTAGTAATTGGCGTTCTCTAGTCTCTGCCTACCCCCATGGGAGACAGGCGTGAAGTTATGTATGTATGTAACTTTCACGTTTTTATTTAAAGTTACAACATGTTCAGTAAATTCCCAGATATAGTGTAGTATCAAGATTGCCACCAGTGCGGTACCTAAGTCGTCAGTTTGTTATCACTTAACAAAAGCTGTAAGAGTTAACTGTATCTAGTGATAAGATAGTTGCGTCTGATAATATTTATCTAGTAGGAGTGACTTGTATAATATTGCAATGTTATCTTGAACTACTTCGTAACGCCTCTGTACCTACTTTTGCAGGTTAGGTCTTGGCTGTAAGTTTTTAAAGTAAAGCTACTTATTTACTTAAAAAAGACTTACCTGTAATACCTAATGCTGTGAAATGCTCAAGTGAATAGGTTGTTTATGGGACCACGTGCTCCATCGTAGACCGCATTATCGCTTACTACCAGGCGAGGTAGCCGTCAAATTGTCGGTCCATAAAATTAAAAAAATATACAAATTTTGATACTTAGGTATTGTTCATATCTCTTCGAGGTGTTAATAGAGGTGCTAGCTACGAGTGTCTCTTGCTGCTCGGCCTCTTATTAGTTGTAGCGTGCGTTTTTATAATTAATTGTAACACGTTCAATCAAACAATTATATTATATATTATTATTTAGTATATATATACTATATTATATATTTATTATAGGTATATATAGATTTATAAATGTGGGAGGTTTGAATGGTTATTAATAAAAGTAAATCGCGCTTAAATACAGTTCTGTCACTACAAATTCTATGTAAAATTAGCTTCTGCCCGCGACTTCATACGCGCAACCCCGTTTTCTCCCGTTCCCATAAAATTTTCAGGATTTTTCTATCATAAGAACCTTCCCCTGACAATAACATACACAACAAATAAAAAATCTACCGAATCGGTCAAGTCATTCTCAAGTTATGGCGTCACAACGGGAAACGCGTTTCATTTTTATATATATAGATGACAGAGATGGCACTATATTTAAGTACTACTTAAAATTGGGTAGCCTTTCAGAATTCGGGCGTTATTCTGTTGTTTATCGTAAAGTAAGGACTTACATCAAATACATGTGATCTTCATGATTATCGTCCGTAAGATACTGAACTAAGATATATAAGGGGTTGGCCGAAATTCCCAAGCTTGACTGGGAACCGTTTCGGAGAATGCTATACGTATTAATATTACTAGTATTTGATGACTGGTAATAAAAACTGAAATTACCTTACAAGAGAGATCCTTTGACTTCTAATTTTTGATATCCCTTTTTAATTACAAATTAAACATACACGTACTAATTTTTATAATAACTATCGTGAGACATACTAAATAAACTAAAAATCGCTGGTTACTCACGTGAATATACAGAGAAAAGCTGTATTAGTTTCAAACCACAGAGGGGTTCTTTCTCATAAGCGCGGTGGCGGCGATGTCGCGCAGCCTACTCATTCTCAGTATATTCACGTCAGTAACCCGCGATTTTTAGTTAATGCGCTAATTTCATATTTAGAAATAATGATTCTCCACCCTTTTTCAAACATAAAAAATTAAATAATAATACGCACGGTCTTAAAAAACCGGTACCATATGACGGATTCTTTAATTATACTTCCTAAACTTTGCATTTGAAATTTCAGGTGATACGCGAAAACAACATGACTCAGCAAAGAAGTCCGCTGTTTAGTGATTTTTTACCTACACTATATAGTGCGTGGAGAGGAGAGAACAGACTGTTTTCTGACGACGACAGTCTACCGTCGGGGAACATCGAATTCGATGGCAACGTATGCACTACCTTCTAAAGACTCAGCGACGACCGTTACGAATAGATTTAAACGCAGCGAAGTTATCTGAGATTTTGTTGTTATTATTTTGTTAAATTTCATTGGTTGGTTAGTAACGTAAGATTACGATTACGACGTTAAGGTGGAGGTAGAAAACTAAATGTGTGTATCAGAACATGTTCTACTACTGAATAGTACCTAGGAAGCCATGTTACTAGGTGAGATAAGATTGCGGTGTTTAAATTAGAGCCAATTTTTCAATGGTCAGATAATTGTTAACTGTGGGATAACTTTCAAATTTTGACAATTCTTCCGTACTAAAAGCTGTCAACTGTCAATTTTATTCTACAGGAATTAAGTAATGACTGAAAAATTGGCCCTCAATCAGTTTTGCATTATATAATTTAAAGTTTTTAAACTCTGTTGGTTTTTGTACTTTTATTGTGGAGTTAGTCGTTCTTGTTGATGGACAAGTTGTAATGTTGCTATTTGGATCGAAATTCATGATTGATTCGATTCTCAGATGTTCATCGGCTGACACGCTAAATAAATCGGTACTAACCGGTTGCTATGTCAAACATTTTTGTCGTTAAATTATCCAACATAATATCGAACTAAAGAAATATACTCGTCAAATGTTAAGTTAAGAGCCGATTTTTCCATCGCCAGATAAATTATATCGAAGTAATAATTTTGAATATTTGACAATTCTAAATACTGTCTCATGTCAATTTTATTATATAGTTAAGAATTATATGTTGATTGAAAAATCCGCCCTAAGACCAACAGTTGTCCAAGCATTCAAGACACTAATATCTCAATAATTTCTTGATATTTTTTGGTGATTTAATATGTAACGTTTGATAGATGGTCTCAGGTAGCATTATTTATTTTGTAAATATTAACACGCTTTTAGGGAATAGAACGCGTGACACCTGTTACTATCACTTACAGGTTATATTGCGTCAAGTGTTAATATTAATTGTATACGAGTCTAAACAACACGCGATGTCACCGCGTGTAGTACGAAGTCTGTTCTTACCTTTATTTTTTTACTTTTAAAAATCATACCGCTGCATTTAGATCTAGACTTAACAAAATTGATATAACTAGGAATTAGTTTCTCATCTAACATTAATCATTCACGTTTAATTTGTAATTGTAATGCCAAACATACACATGTAAACATTAGTTGTTTTATAGTTACAAGACGCTTGTGGTTTTTGAAATATAAACGGTAATGATAAAGTGCTATTTATAAATATTATCTGTATTATTTCAAATATCATTGACCTAGTAACAGTTAGTATACAAACAAAATGGCTACCGGATTAGCGGTATCCGGATTCCGTATTTACGATACGACCTAACTAAACGTGCTGTTAATAACATCTTAATTAGATTTTATTATACAAATATTATCATAAATTTGTTTAAGAACATTAAACATTGGTATACAGCTGATTTTAAAGCATTAAATGACGGAGAAAATGAGGGAATTTGTTTAAATTTCGCTCTAAAAAAGTTGCCAAGTTGCCAGTTACAATAATGTTTGCATACTGGCAATGATATCCTATGAATGATTGCATAAAGGTCATGTGTAATCTCCGCACGTATTACGGGACGCTCCGCTGACGCAACTTTGACTGGCGTCTTAGTCATGATTTGTATTTATAATATCTATTTACAAATGACCTGTACTATGTCTAGGTACTGGATTTAGGCTAGCTTGTTTACCGTTATGGACTTCAGACATGCATTTACACTGGTATATTCAGTATATTCAAGCTAAGTGATATATGAAAAGAAATAAAACCTCTTTCATTTTTCTATGTGTGTTCATCATCATTAGTCTATGTGAAAGTTTAAAAACTACTTTTTTGTAAATAAAATTCAAAAATAAATACCACGCATTTTGCGAAGATAAAAATTATGCACAGATTATGTATTATTATTTTAAGAAACTGAAATTCTGAATAGTAAACAATAAAACATTTTCTACTTTTATATTACAAATATGTAGAACGACAGCACAGTGATCTTAATTTAAATAAAATAAAACTATAAAACAGCAATACAAGGAAAAATGTAAAGTGTCCTCATCATAGTACCAACTGAGCAAAAACGAAAGAATTTCGAAATACCTAATAAAGAATCAGCAAAAATTTATAAAATTTTGGTTATTATACAGATTATATTACATAGAAAAAAAAGCCTTTTAACTTTAATTTTTAATACAACTGTTTCTACGAATAAAAGACCACAAGTGTCGTAGTTTGATAGCTTTGGAATTTGTAAACGGTAAAATAATTTTTATATTATAATATTATGTATATGCCTGTGATATACTGATTTGATTTATAAATTAGAGGATATGTTGTTTGTAATTAGTTTTGAAAGGATGTGGTAGTTGACATAATGGAGAGTTCATTGAAATATTCAAAATAAGAATGATACAAAAAATGTAAACAATCAAAACTAATTTTGTATTCCTTTAAAGTTTGAAGTAGATAATGATATGTCGTGGTATTTTTAACTGGAAAGGAATAGTCTAGATTGCTCAGTTTGTAAATCCAGCATGGCTAAAAGTATCTATATTTTTTTCTTCGTAATTTCTAGGAATCTGTAGACAGTTGCACTTGCAACACAAATCTCGCTTATTTAACCGTGTACTCAAACTATTGTATCTTTCATCTTTTTAGAATAAAATAAATACATAGAATTCATAGTTTCTAGCAGTTTACTATTTTGTCTTTATACCTAAGTCTTACAATAATAATAGCATTTGCAAAAATTTAAATGGATGGTGAATGGTAAACTTTAAATACCATGCGCTTAAGTTTATCTTTCGTCGAAATGTATTGTTCATTACGACAATAGTTTTTAAAGTTTTGTTATTTATCTTTATGTACATCTCTACCATATCATATACAAGTTTATCATGACTAAAAATAAGATGCCAACTAAGAAATTGTATCAAATCAATTCGAAAGAGTAAAACTGAACCTAAGTTTAGTTAAATTATAAATACCTAAAACATTATATAGACCAAAACTACATACTTGCGTAGTTTTGTAACATTTTTTCCTGCTGATCGGTTTTTTTAGTATGTAAAAATAACAATGTTTCAATAAACATTATATTAGGTGTCAATGTCAACTATTATTATATTGTATTTTAGACGTGACCAGTTAAATAAAGCGTTGATTTTAACGAAAATCAACTTACTTTTGTTGAGAAGTAAGGTATAATTATTGTTGCTTGTCTAGGAATTGCTGAAAATATACATACATACATGGAACCACTGTTGCGTCTAAAATATTATACATATTAAACTTTTTCTTTACTTTGTTTGCCACCGCTCATCTAGGTCATATGATTCTATTATTTTAGTTGAGTGTATTTTATTTATCGTTAGTGCTATCGTCTCCCAATGTGTGGAGTAAAATGTAAGGTTTAGTCCCAATGTGTAAATAAATGATGATTTTAAATAATGTTTTTGATTATTTTTCTCATTAATTGACATGAGATTAGTTCACATCTAAATTAATTAACCGTATGATGATAACATTTTATTTTCGTTAATGAAATGTCAAAAAAGCCTGTATGTGTACAGTGTGTACCTAATCAATTTAATCACTATTCCAATATGGCGGCTATTATACAGTGTCTACGGCAACGTGTTAATTTTTTACATTTTATTAATACCATTTGAATAATTACTATAAGCTATGGTTGCAATAATTTTTCTTAGGAAATATTTCGTCGAAATTTGTTTTTTATAAAAAATATGGTGCTGCAACTATTTAATTCAAGGGCCAATATCGAAAGGAGTCTTAAAATTAGATAATATAAATATTTATGACTCCTTAACAAAATCGGGTGCTTTTCTATACAGAACGTAAATTTAGCAACATCTAGTCTTTTAATGATTTTGTTGACGGAAATTAAGCAATAGGTAATACTAACTGTACCGATACATAACTCAAATATTTTAATACAATGAACTTTTTATTTTCCCGCCTTCCTAAGACAAAGTGAAGCGCCACGTAGTGTTAAAATTTGGAACTAATCCAAGCCGACGCGATCTTATTTTTATATATTTTTCTGGATTAAACTAATTAGGCGCTAAAATCACATTGAAAATAGGATCCAAATTAGTTTTAACACCGATTTGATTACATATCAGGTTGTTCAATTGGATAATAAGGAAAATATAATTCAACGTTTTTGTCCACATGCTAGTCATTGCTTGTTAATGGCGGACATTTTCGACCAATCAGCGTCGAGGCGTGCAGAAGCCCGCGCCATCTTCGTTTTCAAACTCATCTGGCCCCGCTTACTCACTCGCTCAGTCAGTCGCGCGTCGGATTCGGGCAGCCGTACAACTTAACTTACTAATTCTAGTAATTAACACCAAAATCAGAACAATCATGAGCACCAATGAAAATAACAGTGAAGTGGCCGTCGACAAGGTCGGTGATGAGAAGAAGGGTGACGCCAAAAGTGACCTAAAAGGAGCCAAAAGGGCAGCAGAGGTGAGTGCACATGTCAAACAAATGTATTCGTTATAATCGCTCGCCATTTTATTGAACGCTATTATAAAGTTAGCATTACACTTATTTCTTTATCTATATTGTTCTTGTACATCATTCCACGTGGTTAATAGTGATCTGTGTGTGTAGGCACGAGAACGATGCTGACTCTTACCGGCGTATTTTTGGATGTCATTTCTGTCGAGTTATGCATTTTAACGCGTGTGGAGAAATCGATGAGTCAAAATCATGATGCTCTGTAAAGTAACACATAAATAAATATTACTTGAGGCACATAACATTTGCGAGGCACTAATTTTTTAGCTTTTGTTTACTCGTTTTCGATACGGAGGCATGACCTTGGCGGAAAAAAAAAACATGGCGCGGGAACGTACGCTCTCCTCATTGATGTAGTTGTTATAGAAAATTGTCGACATAGGTGTTGTAATTGCTATCGTAGTTAACTATCGATCATATTGCGGGAAATGGTTATTTTAAACTTTCTTAGGGCTTGTGTTCAACGTAGCGTGACGCTAGATAGATGGGTAACATGGCCGGCGCGAATGTCAGTGTTTGAGTCGGGGTGGACTGTCACAACCGCCGCGCAAATACATGTCGTGTTATCTACTCGATATGTATTATTATTATTCGATGCAATATTCAAGTCTGACATGAGTCAACCGCGCTCCAACCATTTCCACAATTATTATTTTATTTCGGCGTTTACACCGAAAGTAGTCAATGACCCGGCATTATTTGCATGTAGGTGTACATTATGTAGCTATTATATATCCTTTGTTCTAGTAGCACTCGATTATAGCAAATAGTCATGTGAACATTTATTAACTGTCCATGTTAGCGGGAATCCTAAATATTTTACAAATTCCCTAAAATAGGGAATGCTTTATATCTTCTGTCCTTCTCACTCATAATATCGTACGTGCACGAGGACCACTGACGAGGACGCATGGCGTTTGCGGCTTGATTCAAACCTAAAACTTAATAGGTTATCTTCATCGTAGGCTATACAACCATCTAAAACGTGTATGTTAATGAACGACGCTACGAGGTTATGTATCAACGTAATTTGACGGTTTTGTACTGTTTCTCGTATATATGGCGTCGGTTTATGAACGGCTAGGTAGGTATGCGCGGTGACCGCGTTCCGCTCAATTTTGCCAAGGGAAAAAGGGCCGTATGACGCCGGCCCCGCTCGACGTCGCTCTTTCCCCCACACAACAACTAATGACCCACGCTTCTTTATCGTTACCAATCTTTGTCACCTGCGTCTCATTATTATGCAGGTAACTTGCATCGTTTTCCCACAAAATCATCCGTAAACAGATCTCTTAGTGCATTCATAATTGAAATTATGTTGGCTAATAGCCAGTTATTACTTGTTTGATCTTGAGTACGTCAAGGCACATCGCATATTATCGTATATGGCACCTAGGTAGGTAAGGTAGGATGAGAAAACGAGAGTTCCCGCCAATAATACGCTGTGTTTGTAGGAGAAAACAACGGAGGCGAAAAAGGCGCGAAAGGAGGAAAATGGAGGAGGTGGTGAAGATGAGCCCCACAGCGATGAGGAAGACTTAGAAGGAGAAGGCGAGGGTGAAGAAGACGACGATGAAGAAGTAGAAGGAGAAGATGATGAAGAAATTATCGGAGAGGGAGAGGAAGACGATCTCGATGGCGAGGGTATGTTATTTGAATCGAATATGTATTATTCTATTTTAATTATCACTACGTTGACCCTTCTAAGGCTGCGTTATGTTTTAGTACACTATTATAAACACTCCACGCGTATATACGCATTGAGGTTATCAATTACCTAAGCAATCATCTTTGAATTCAATAAATTTAAATTAAATTTAGTTAAATGATATTGAATCAAACACAACTTTTTGTAATGTAAACTAAATTGAGAACCCGTCTCAAGGTGCCGGTGCACAGCACACACGAAATGTAGGTACCTAATACATGGATTGTTGTGGCGCGTGCGTGACGCTAATATGCCCGTGTTTGTTGTTACAGATGAAGAAGTAGAAGAAGAGTTGCTTGGTGAGGAGGAGGAGGAGGATGCGTAATACGCCTCGTGCCTCTTAATGGACAATGTCACAGTGATGTGTTTAGTGCTCGTGACGCCCCGGACTGGCGCGGCCTCGCTTCGCCTCAACTGTCCACATACAGCGACAGCCCCAACTACAGGACACTAACAACAGTTGGGAACACGCGGGGCCGACATCGCTCCCACCTAAAACGGGTGCAGTTCTATTTAAATGACAAAAATGTAATTAATTAAGTCAAATTCAATGCAGATTTTCATTTTTTTTTACAATATTTAAGTTTGGTACTGAAAGCTGTATCTTTACTTTTTCTGCTCGTTATCGAGTATGTAATTAATTAAGACTTAGTAGAATGCTGTTGAATTTTGTCATGAAATGTACAAATGTGTTTTTCGGAAGTAAACTTTATTCTAAGTGAAATCCGCTCTGTATTCTAGGTCTACCTGTGAGCCCGTTGAATGGTGAAGTTGTGATATTTTTCTATGCTGTAGGAACCTATCCATTAAAATATAGAATTAAGCCAGATTTGGCGCGTTATAGTAAATAAGCTATAAGTCACAAAGCTCAATTCTTCATTTTCTTGTTGTCGATGAGAGTTTGTGTGTACATATTTAGCATAAGTGAAGCCTGTGATTTTTATAATCAGTAATGTAACATAGTGTGAACGTTGCATTCAGGTTAATAGTTTTCTTTTATACAGTATATCAAATGCCGCGTTCCGATTACACAATCGTTTCCTCGTTCGACTCGATCGCATTTTGGATCGAGTGATAAAGTATGATAACGAAATAAAACTTAGGAATTAGTCATTTAGCGATAGAATCTGTACGGATGGGTGCCGTCCATGGCTACCGAGTTAGGACGAGGAAGCGTTCTTAGGTCGGCGTTCGTCGCTGTACGAAACGCGTTCCTATTCCACACGTCAGTTTACTAGAAAAACATCACAATTTTGCCATTATCTCGCGCCCATCGCGCGCCGGCCGCCCGCTCTCTGAACGACCGATAAAGAGAGCGCGACGGTCGCCACGGCGCGATAGCGAATAACAAAAATTATATCAAACCGGCCTGTATTTTTTGTCCATAACTGTTAATTAGGATAGAACCTTCAGCTCGGTACTCCAGTGTCTCACGGTGTGGAATAAGAGATTCCTAGGTTAAAGTGATTTAGTATGTAGGATGTACGTCATTTTTTATGAAAGGACGCCACGGGCGGGGCGGGGCGGCCGCGCGTGGCCTCGTTCGATTTGCCGGCGGCGCGGCGCTCCGCCGCTCCGCGCCCGCTCTCCGCACGCCCCGCACCACGACGCGGCGACGCGCTCTCTCGCGTGGAAAATCACCCGTTGTGCGCTATACATCGCTGCTCGGACTCGATGCCGACTCGCCAGTGATGTATTCGCATCGCCCCGTATAGACGCCGATCGTCACATGAGCGTTTTTGATACTTCTTGTTGAATCCGTTTTCACTCCGTTCAGTCTATCGCAGGGCGTCGGTGTGCCTACACCTAGTTGCAATGACTTATGATTTTAATTAAGCAGCCGGCCCGGCGTAGACGCGGCGAGGTGTTATGAAAAGCATTTAGCTAATTAATTGTTCCATTCGCGATTGAATACCAAAGGGAGCAAAGATGTTTTCACTAGAAAAAATTGACATGGAAATCAATAAAATTATCTTATGAGTAAATCTTATTGTCCCGCCTTTTCATTTTTTTGTGGTAAGAATGAGCTGTCGCATATTTGTACTATGTACGACTTATGTGAATACCTTAGTACGATTTTTATTTATTTGTGATGTTGAACACTATTGATTTTCTACAATGGACGAAATGTAAATACAACCGATTTTAAGTAAAAAGTTATTTTGTTTTTAAGCTTATTTATTTGCCCCACAGAATGTATTGGACACAACTTTCCCGAATAATTCTTAATTTCGATTCGAGAACCGATTTTGATGACGTTAAAGATAGAGCGCTATAAAAATAAACATGGCGCATGTCTTGAGAAGCGCAATTCATTGGGCCGTGTTCATAATGGTAATAAAGTACCTGTACCTTACCTTACATTTAGTTCAGGATATCAATTTTGTTCCTCAAATTATTTAATTACAAACGAGGATTGAGAATAAGTAGGTACCTACAGGAACGTACTGTAGGTACTTAATGTTAGTTAAACAAATTCTGATCTTCAAAGTGATCAAAGAAGTTTCATAGATCATTTAGATATGTATGTAGGTATTGAACGTCTAGGTACATAATCAAAATGACCAATACCTGTAAAAAGGCCATTTAGGTACCTATCTAGATAATGCAGGTAGAAGCACCTAGTTACATAAGAAATGAAAATAAACTGATAGGTATGAATTCGGCATGGAAATATCTAGGTTATGTGAACGTTGCTTAAGAACGTGAAACGTACGACTAGCGCCGTCTATCGGCAAGTATGTCTATAGATTCTTAGTAAGTACATAATTTTAATAATAGATGGCGACACCCCCTGCACTACTGCATTGTCACATTAGTAGGTATCTACTATTTTTGAAAATAGATGGCACTATCAAATCAAGTACATTCAGTAGAATTTGGCTGCCGCCAATTTTTGTATGTTAATGTGCTATCAAAAATCAAAACGTGCCATTGATGTTGTAATTTGTAATGATTTGGCAAAATAAACAAAAAGAATAATTATAATATAGAAGAATAATTGCATGTTTCTTGATTAATTTGAATGTTTTGTTAAATTAGGACGTACATTTCCATAGGTAGGTAAGTACTTATTGAATTCTTACCATTAAGTATCTTCCGATATTTCCGCTTAATTTTTTCTTTGCAGTAATAAGTATACCTAGGTACACAACGTATTTTGTGCCATATGTATCTTACCTACCAGGTACTGACTTAAAGTTACGATAATAACGAAAATGTCATTAAATCACGTTGACTAAATTGGTAAAATCCCGTATTATAGATAGGTACACTTACAAATTCCTTATAAATTTCTTTGTTTACCTTCTTAGCAGTTTCCACATGTGCACTTGCTTTGAGTGATTTACTGTTTGCGTAAGTAAAATATACATCCAACGAGTGAAATCTTCTGTAACGGTCTAAACTTCAAAACAGTATTAATTTTATAAATGGAATACAACACAAACACAGCTTTAATTGAAAAAAAAAAAGAATTCTATTTGACAGTCAAGATGACAACAATCCAAATCAACTGGCTGTTAGTTGTCAAATAAACTTCAAAATCAAAAAGAAACTTGTAGTCGTTTTTGTTTTACCTGCAAAATCCTTTGTGTTGTGTATCTCAATACAAACGTGTGTATTTTATTAAATTTAATTTTTGATTTTTATAAAACAAAGTTATTTTTCGTTTCATTACTTTAAAAAAAATTGAGACGTTTATACCTAATATGATTAAAAATAACTAGGTACTTTTGCCAAAAAAATATAGGTACTATGTATGTATTGTACGTGTTACATTGTGTAATTTTTAAAATAAAAGCATTAACAGGTAATTTGATTTAATAGATTTTGATCTTGGCCGTTATAACTAATAATTAATATTTAATAGCAATATACGACAACATAAATAAATTAAGATAGATAAACATTTTAATATTTGAATTTTTTTTATGTGACATTTTTATAAGCTAAGGAGACGATTAATGTTGGTTCAAACCTTGGTAACAAATACGTATGTACGGATTTGGCTTTGATTCAGCGCAGTACAATAATTTAGTGCGTTTCACGCCGCGAGAGAGGGCTTACGTATATTCAATGTCCTTCTGAGTTACATCGACAATCGTGTTTATATTTTTGAATTAAACTTATTAGGCTGTGTGCAAAAAGTTCAATTAAACTAATGAACGTTTATTTCTGAACGCAACTATTATGTCTATGAATTTTAGCGGTAAAATGTGATTTTTGTTAGTGTAAACAGTGAAAAAATTCTGGAATTAAAAAAGGTAAAGTGAATTATGTTTATTCAAAGAATTGCAATATGATACCATGATACGAGTAATGATAATAATGTAGAAAAATATTTTTTTCTGTATAAATTTTTCTGTGATTTAAAATTACATGCGCAGGAGAAGTAAGTAACAAAAAGAAACAAAGAAACTGGATCGAAAATGTAATTATAAATTGAAGTTATAATTTAACAATAAGAATTAAGATCCAATACGAATAATAATATTAAAATTGTTAATTTTTACGTAATGCATTGATTGTTTATTGTTTATGCAATCTTTTGTATATATATTTATTTTTCAAAATTACGTAGATACAATTAATATGATAAGTAGGTATCTGTTATTTTTAGAGGAAATCGGAATTGAAAAATAAACACAAAAGTATACCTACCTACAGTGATATGGTAAATACGTAGGCACTGTCTATCCATTTGTACCTAGATCGGCCTCAAGGCTCATGCACAGACACAATAGAATGAAATAACATTACAAAAGAAAGCTAAGCTACATAGCTGACCAATCAAATGAATTAATACTTAAGGTGAATTTGATTTTTTTTTTAAATAAGATGCACGGATTTTTCTAGCGAGAGGCTTTTTTTGTTTTTTTTTTTGTTTAATTCAGTTTATGTTGCAAATAGTTTTCCGATATTACGTAGGTAATAAAAATAATAGAAAACGTAAATATAGATTAGATGTAGACATTAGATAAAAATTTCTTTTTCGAACTTCGAACTCTCAACCTTTTTTATTTTATTTAGTCAAGCTTGAGAATGCAATAACAAACGGATCCTTAACAATAATTACGGTGAGATTCATAAAGTATCGTAATCATAAATGGTAATTGCAAGCAAGATTGGGAAGTCATAACACGAATTAAGGTTTAATTTCCAAGTGTAATTTTGTTATTGTTCTGCCATTTCTTTGTTGTCACCTTATCGATATAATACCGTTATCGGGTATCGGATTAGATACATACCTAGGATATTTAGGTAGGTATATGTATGTACCAATGTACCAAAATATGTGCGTATTCGGTTGCCAAAATTATTTTTTCATAGTTTGTTTTGATTGTGTTTTTTACGATATCATAGCATAACCCGGTTTTCTAGTAAACAAGGTGTTTAGTTTTTGAGTGGTTATAATCGTATACCTAATATGGTTTGTGTGTTTTTTTTATACATATCTAATTGTCTTTGGTCTAATAATTATTAGACCAAAGACAATTATAATGATTCATTCGCCAGTGATCTCAAAACTATGAGAATTCAACTACGAATACCGTTAATTAGCAATATGGTATTTTATCAAGGATGGATAATGAAAAATATCAAATTAATGAAGATACCTACCCATGCCAAGAAGACACACACTAGTGATCTAGTTTAATACACAAAAAAAACAATACCTAAAAATAATGATTATTTTTACTCACGTAACTGTTTGACGAGGAACTCGACTAGTTTCAAGCCATGCTAGGTACTCATATTCAGCAGCATAATCTAAAAGATATTTTTGCACGACTTGCACGATCATTTCCTTATTATCATTTTTCATTGTGTCATTCAGAATTTCCTTTGTTGAACACCTCCTATCTGACTGGATGACTAACACGATCATGTGATCAAAGTACTTAGTACCAATTTTTTTTTTGAGGAGGAAAATTATCCAATGACTTCTCCCTTCTTGGGTTAGGCGAGAGGGAGTGTCAGACTCTTACTGACTAAAAACCACCCCGTTCCTACTGCTGTTCGGGCCGGAGCCCCGGCAACCCGTTAGGCCTTCCGCTACTCCGACAATTACCTACTTAAAATTGTATTCACACGACATTTTCATACATTAAGTACTCTCCTACTTGGGTAGGTGTTTTGTTTGTATCGTTTGTATAAGTATAACGTCGCGAATTTTCCCATAATATTTTTCCTTCCTTCCTTTCTGGGCGAAGTGTGATTTGAAAATAAAATAGCTATGTTAGCTATTTTTGCCTGAGTTATATTTTTTGAGCCGAAGTAGATGACCGTATAGTATAGGTAAAATACATACATTTGTCACTAGTCCTCCTACTCTTCCTTAGCTTAGCTTACTACATTAACATCCCACATAGGGTTGCCACCCGTACTTTATAATAAAGTATTGTACGTTATTTAAGGTAATTGTACTCTATACTTATAAGAATAATAAAGTACACGAAAATACTTTATTTTTGCAAAATTCGATATCGATATTTATCGACTTATGTTGAATCGATTTCGCCACTCGCCAGCGCCACTTAGACAATTTCTAGTAAAGATGCAATTGTTTAGTATTTCAATGCAATTGTTTAGAAAAGATACTAATTTTATACAAACTGCAAAAAGCAATAAAAAGTATATTTTTAAATATAATACTAAATAACAATAAATTGTATTTTATTTTTGTACTGTGTACTTTTTTTTCTTACCTATAATCGTCAATGTACTTTAAATACCAAAATAAAAGGTGGCAACCCTAATCCCACACTAACCTTACCTTAGTGTGGAAGAGCCATGCTTCGGCACGAATGGGCCGGCTTGACCGAAGTGAAGAAGAAGACCGGAAACCGACGTGAAGCAACGCTTGCGTTGTGTTTCGTCGTGTGAGTGAGGTTACCAGAGGCCCAATTACCTTCCCCTTCCCCAATCTTCCCAATTCCTGAATCCCCAACGATCCTCAAACTCCTAATCCCTAAAAGGCCGGTAACGCACTTGTAACGCTTCTGGTGTTCCAGGTGTCCATGGGTGACGTCGATTGCTTACCGTCAGGTGATCCGTCTGCTCGTTTACCGGCTTATGCCATAAAAAAAACCAGCCTGCCAAGCTTAAGAGTTTATAGCAAACGCTCTTATGTAGAGGACACCCATGAGTCATGTGGAAGTGGTCCATCACTGGCTGTTGATGATATTGAATTACATTACCATATTGAACCCTGTAGTATCATTGTTAAGTTTATTTCGCCCATCTTAATTCACCTTCTTCGTATAAATCAAGGTCCTTGATACAGCATGGATATCGTTTCACAATCAAATTTCAATAAATAATAACTTAACGGTACTTATTTTACGGCGGGTGAGCAAAATGTCAAGAATTGGCCTTGTTACTGTTGGGGATTGCAAGTCTTCTGATTTTCGAAATTTCTATCAATATTCAATAAGCTGACCCTTCGTCGTTGTGTTGAGAAACATTGTTTCTTGTAAATTTACTGATTTGCATTGCCTTTATTTATGAAATTGAATTTATTTAAAATTGTATTTCGGAGTGTGGAGATGAAACAAGAAGTAGCTATTGTTTAAACAAGTAATTGTAGTTCTTTTAAAAAAAAGGGTTCAGTAAAATTATCATGAAAGATACAATTTTTATTTCGGCTTTTAAGTTCTTTCCCTATTTTGCCAAAAAATGCTTTATGCAAAATGTTCAAGGCTCTGAGTTCCCACTTTCCATTCATATTTTCTTACCTGGAAAACGTTAACTAAGTTTATTAACCTCGGTCCCGTAACTACTTAAAAAACAAATTCAAGTACTTACCTATTTCATACGCAACTAACATAATTTTAAGATTGGCCTTGTTATAAAAATATACTAAATAGTACTCACGAAGAATATTAATAGACATTTTTATGTTTCAAGCTATGTAAATAGGTCTGAATTATTAAAATGATGTTTTTGGTTACTGGGTTAAGGTCATCTGAGTTGCACAATTTTGCTTAGCCTGTTTATTTTTTATCATCTTAATTATTTTTAACCTCACCTAGTGAGCGTTTGTCTGTAACTTCTCTTAACATTTCACTTGTTACCAGTAGATACTAATGCTTCATTAAGCTCTCCTCTCATGTATTGGCACTACCTTTACGGTTCTCATAACTTTTAGTTGGTTAAAAAAAATAACAGTTAAAAAAATAACAGTCATATAGTTGCCCTTGTGTCGTAGTTTATCGACGTCTTTCTTATATCCTGTTGGTTAAATTAAAAGCGCAATTTTGATTATGAGATCATCATCATCAGCCTGTATTCTTTCACTTGTGGAAATAGGCCTCTCTAATGGCACGCCACTGACGGTCTTTAGCTCTTCGCGTTCAACCACTGCCAGCCACCTTGCGTATGTCGTCACTCCACCTAGCTGGAGGAGAGGCCCTATACTATGTTTGCCTAAACGCGGTCTCCACACTAGAACACATTCACCCCAAACTGTTATCGGTTCTCCGATAAATGTGACCGGCCCACTGCCACTTCAGCTTACTGATCCTTTGGGCTATGTCGATAACTTTGGTTCTCTGTCGGGTCATTTCGTTTCGATATGAGATCAATGACTATATCGTTATGAGATCAATGATTATTGAATACCCTATGGAATATTCTTTTAGATATTTAGGCATTATTAATAGATATACTTTTTTTGTGTAAATGCATCCACAACACAGGGAAATTTCTTAGTGTAAGACGGAGGGGTCACATTTAAAATAGCTATAGGCATCTGCCGGCTATTCTGTAAGAAGTTAATTCGAACTCTCGAAGTGAGCTCGATCGCGGTCCGCCATGTCATTGCTTGTCAAATAATCCAACCACTGACGGGCGAGAATGCGATCGAACTCACTTCAAGAGTTGGAATTGACTTTTTACATAATAGCCTAGCTGTCTTCTTTTGAAAATGGCCAAAGTGAATATGCGAAAATTATTTAATTTGGCTTTAATTTGGATTTCTTCGAGATTCATTTCCCTATGATTAAAGGCTTGTTCTAGGTATAGGAAGCACTTGCCAACCGGAGTGTGAAGGCCATGGTCTTAAAATATAAGGTCACATTACGACTATTTGCACGCTTATGTTAATTTCGGTGTGTATAAATAAACTGGTTGTTATGCTGGACTTATTTAATAGGCTTCTGTGTGTTGATACATGTTGGACCAATGTTGGCTGTTGGCCCAAACCAAAAACAATGTTGGAACCACAGAAAATATCTATTGGAATCAGACAAACGGCTTATCA